GTATTTTGGAAAGCTTACATTAAAAAGCTACCATCGGCTACTCCCCCAATTCTGGCGACTGCGTTTGTCCACATACTCAGTCGGCAGAGGATAGTCGAACGGGGATCTTTTGTTCTTGGTCTATTTTTTATTGGTGGTGTTGCGTTGAAGCTCACTATTCAAGAACTCGCTAAGCTCTACGTCATAAAGAAACGTGTACGAAGCACCCGAATGATGTGTGTTCTTGTGGGGGTACCCACAGTTCTAATTGATACACAAGCGCGAATGATCTTAATAGGAAGCAGTAATATCAAAACTGCGGTCGTTGGTGTGCTTGGTATGGGACTTCTCGAAATTTCCTTCCGTCTAGGTAAAGCAAAATTTTTGCAGTGGATTATCTCTCAACGTGAAAAAGCACTTTTACGCCATAATGACGGACTTTCGAGCGCTGTTCCACGAGGCCGACCGTCTCTAACATCGGGACACATGGAGTTTGAAACGTGGCGTCGTCAGCTAAAATCGTTTCATGCTGCGGAGCTTAATGCGGATATGTACGCCGAGTATATCGCGATCGGCTGCTCTGCCTCCATTTTATTTTTCTTTGGCAATCATCCGCACTATGCGCTTCTAAGACAGTCGTACACTACGACAGAACTTGCTGATTTGTCGACTTGGCGCTTGAATCAACTGAAGATGCTAACGTTTCAACTGGGCATCGAAGTCGTTGTCGACTACATTTCGATCGTATTAGAGATGGCAGCTGGTCTGGAGTTTGATCACATCAAAAATCTGGGCTCGTTCCTTGCCGTATTGTTCATGGTTACGGCAGTTATGAACATTACGATCTCGATTGGTATTTATCTGAGCTGAGCTAAATTCCGCAATTGCAAACGTATTTAGACCTAACTCAATCCAGATTAGTCATTCTAAAGCTGATTTAAAACGACTGTCCACATCGAAAGTATTTTCTCCCTTACCAATGTGAGCAATGTTGTTACAAGTGCATGACACTTACCTTGTGTCATCCCGAGAGGAGATCGACTGTGCGCAGACTGCAAGACAAGCGCCACCCGATGGCCAATCGAAAAAGCGAAACTCCTGTGTGGTTCGACTTTTGCCTACGCCTTGAGAATGCAGACAACCGTGATGAGGAGTGCTGCTGGAAATGTTACATGCGCTTGGGTTGCAAACGGATTATATTTTCTTGGCAACATTCCCTCTGGAAAACCTTCACGTGATCAGACACGAGGCAAATTTATAGATGCGAACTCAGTATGGGTTATGATAAATATTTGCTTCCAGCACCATGTTATCTCTTTCGATTCATACAAGATCACACGCGTCAACCCGCTGTGTGAATTTGTTTCTAAAAAAAATTCGGCTATGGGAACTACCACGTACTTGTGACTGTGATTTGCTTAGTTTATCGCGTCAAGTCATCCATTCTGGCACTCAAATGCTCCGTTGACAGCTTCTACCTATCAGAATACATTGCGATCACAACAGAAACGATATTTTACCGAGAGGCACGGGAAGGGCATGATCGTCGTTTGCATGGAGGAAGATAAAAGCAAGCAGTCTCCGTTGAGCAGGTCAATCTCTAAATTTCCGCCAGATTTTCGATCTCTATGGTGCTGCCAATCAAGCTACGGTAATCAATTCCTTTACTAATTGAAGTAGCTTGAGCTTTGTCTTGGCTCTGGTCTGTTTCTTGGTAGTAAAAATCGCTTCACTAGGCGGTTCGACCAAGACGGACAAGACGACACCACGCAGTCGGTCGATGGTCAGATATTCTGAGGAAAACGAAATGAAGCAATAGGAAGCAATAGGGAGAAACGAAATTAGCATTAGCACGACTCGACAGAACGCCCACATTGAATCTGCAACAAGTAAGTTATCTGCGACTGTCCGGAGTACCATTTGCCCGTACAAAATGCTTCCGAGAGCGTCAACTTTATAACCCTCACAATAAAATACAATACATTGGGATAAGATTTGACAGGTTTTGACTCCGGCCATTGATTGGCGTTGGCCGTCGCGCATCTGATGGACAGACGTCATTCCTCATACCGACCGACACCTTCCGCATCGCCGTCCGACGCATTCCGACATGGTGGTGGCTAGCGACGTTTTCCCGCTGGTGCATGCGCTGCTGACCAGTGCCGGTCTCAAGAAGTCGGCGGCCGCGCTGGCCAAGGAGGCCAAGCTGCAGCCCAAGGCGTTCAAGAGCGAGCACGACCTGCTGGACGTGTATAATTTCTACCTGACGCACAACATGAAGAAGGCCAAGGTGCCGGCCACGTCGGTGGTGGACGCGGCCAAGCGGACACAGAAGAAAAAGGCCAAGAGCAGCAGCTCCAGTGACAGTTCCGACTCGTCCGAGGATAAGAAGACCTCGGCCAAGAAGGTCACGTCCAGCAGTGAATCCTCGTCATCGCAAGATTCCGAGGAGGAGAAGCCGAAGGCCAAGACTGCGGTTAAGAAGGAGGAATCGTCGTCCAGTTCGGATTCGGATTCGGACGATGAGTCGGAAGAGGAAAAGCCGGCTACGAAGACGGCGGTAAAGAAGGAAGAGTCTTCGAGCTCGGATTCGGACTCGGATGACGAGTCGGAAGAGGAGAAGCCGGCCGCTAAGAAAACTGCCGTCAAGAAGGAGGAATCCAGTTCGGATGACTCATCCGATTCGGACGATTCGTCGGATGAGGAGGAGAAGCCGACCAAGAAGGCTGCTGCTGACAAGAAGAAGGCTGTCGTTAAGAAAGAATCGAGTTCAGATGACTCATCCGACTCGGATGATTCGTCGGATGAGGAAGAGGAGAAGCCAGCTAAGAAGGCTGCTGGAAAGACGAAGGCTAAGGCTCAGGAGAGCGACTCTTCCAGCTCGGATGATTCTTCGGATTCGTCCGACTCGGACTCTTCGGACGATGAGAAGCCCAAGTCCAACAAGCGCAAGGCTGAAGCTCCTGCTGCCGAGAAGAACAGCAAGAAGGCGAAGCGTGACGCCGAGTCCAGCTCGGATGACAGCTCGTCGGACTCTTCGGATTCCGATTCGGATTCGGACTCCGATTCGGATTCGTCGGAGGATGAGGAAGCTCAGAAGAAGGAGGCTGCGCGTCGTGAGCAGGCCGCTAAGGCCGCTCTGGAGTGGCAACCCAAGAAGATCGAGAAGGTGGCCACAAATGCCAAGGCGGCAGGCACCCCGTTCCAGCGTGTGGACGGTGAGTACTGGTCGCAGAAGATCGTGGACGACACGCTGCGTGACAACAGCTACGAAGGCACTTTCGGCGCTGACGGAGTAGGCGTCAAGGCCAACAACAAGCTGCTCAAGACCCGTGGTAAGGACTTCACCAAGGGCAAGAACAAACTCAAGCGTTCGACGTACATGTGCGGCGCCATCAGCATGGCTTCCAACTCGTTCAAGTTCGAGGACTAGAATCAAAGGATTCCCTTATCATCCCTTACTTTGCGATAGTACAACCTATAGAATATAATTCTCGTTACATTTTCCTTTACTTCAGTGGCTTTCGAGACTGGAAACTAGTGTCTGCAGCTCTTTTAGACCCCGAGTTGAAGGCTGCCAAGTGTCCAGGCAGGGGAACTCGTTTGTCAGCGTTGAAGCTGAACTCGAGCTCTTCAAGTTGAGCGCCATAGCGTTTGAGTCTGAAACACGAAGGCCGGGAACGTAACGTTCCGGTGCCTTGGTCTTGTCACCAGTGCCAAACATCGCAGCTGATACCTGCTTCGTCCGCAGTTTGTACGCGAACACTTTAGCCTGTAGCAGCTTCTTCTCTTGTATCAAGAGTGAATCTGCTGACTGCTTTGTTTCTCCGGCCTTCGAAAGCTCAATAGCACGCGCGATATCCTTGTGTGCAAGGTCGAATTCGTCCTTCAATCTGTAAGCCTGGGCTCGACGATAGAGTGCCTTGACGTTATTCGAGTCAATTTCGAGTGCCTGGTTGGCGTGATGCACTGCATCATCCAGATGCATTGTCTTGAGTCGGCAAGCAGCGAAATTGAGCAG